CATCAGCTGTTGGTTCTTCACTGAGCGTCTGTGGCCGACTGTCACCTGTAGCTTCAACAAGTCCACTCTCATCATCCAGGGAACCGTCTCTCAGTGCACAGAAAGCAGGTGAAGCTGAACTCCTTTAAAACACCAAACGTTCCTCCTGTGATGATCCATCAAGACGCTTTGAACAGATTGTTTCTGACTGTCTCTTAATGATAATGTCTGGACTAAAGGACAAACACACACTGGAGGCAGATGACCAGCATCTAAACATCCAAGTGTTGTCTGCTAAGAGCCCACAAACCTGCAGCGTGAGGACGTTGACTCATTTCAACCCACCATGATGCCGTCAACGTGTCAGGAGACACTGTCCTCTCTTACAACAACAAGACAAGACTCCAGAGAAACAAGCCTTTCATCACCTTCCTCCCTGTTCAGGCTCATCCTGGCTACTGTTCCTACTTCTGTCTGTGTCGATGGTCTCATGTGGGACACAAACAGTTAGATGAGTCTCTGTTGGTTTGAGGTCAGCTTGGTGTGTCAGGGTCTTATTAACCAGGCTGACAGTGGGACAGAGAAAAGGTTTCCAGCTCCTCTACAGACTGATGGTCTGTGGCTGCAGCCTCTTCATACCTGAGAGTCTCCAGTCTCCACTGAGGATCCTCCAGTGCAGCAGACAGCAGCTTCACTCCTGAGTCTCCTGGATGATTGTAGCTCAGGTCCAGGTCTCTCAGATGGGAGGGGTTGGAGCTCAGAGCTGAGGCCAGAGAAGAACAGCCTTCTTCTGTGATCAGACAGCCTGACAGCCTGCAGAACACACAAAATAAGACACATGTCACATGATCTGAGGGAGCTGTGAGGACTAGAAGGTCACTGCAGGACTGAGATACTATCAGGTACAGAGGGGTCACATTAACATGGTTACTGACTGGTTTCCAGTCACAACCAAACACCCACTAATGTTCATCAACAATCTGACAATAATACTGAGAACATAAATAAATACATGAAATAAATGTTTGATGTAAATAATGCAAGCAGAAAGAATCTTACGAAAGTCAGAAATTAAACTAAATAAAAGACACTGTGTTGAATCCTGACCTGAGAGTCTCCAGGTCACAGTGTGGACTTTCCAGTCCAGCATACAGCAGCTTCACTCCTGAATCCTGCAGGTTGTTGTTACTCAGGTCCAGCTCTCTCAGACTAGAGGACTGTGAGCTGAGAACTGAGGACAAAGCTTCACAGCTTCTCTTTGAGAGGTTACAGTCACTCAGTCTGAAGAAACAACAATGAAGAAAATATAAACAATAAGTAGAAAAGATGGCAGCATGTTTAAGTCATGATGTGTGAATCTAACTCTCTGTACATACAGAGCTTTGTTGGAGGCTTTGACCACTGGCAGCAGCCTCAGAAGAGCCTCCTCTGAAGCAGAGTATTTCTTCAGGTCAAACACCTCCAGATCTTCTTGTGATGACAGTAAGATGAAGACCAGAGCTGACCACTGAGCAGGAGACAGTTCACCTGAGGAGAGACGTCCTGATCTAAGGGACCGTTGGATCTCCTCCACTAGAGAAACATCATTCAGTTCATTCAGACAGTGGAACAGATTGATGCTTTTCTCTGGAGACACATCTTCACTGATCTTCTCCTTGATGTACTGAACTGTCTCCTGATTAGTCTGTGATCTACTTCCTGTCTTTGTCAGCAGACCTCGTAGAAGAGTCTGATTGGTCTCCAGGGAAAGACCCAGGAAGAAGCGGAGGAACAAGTCCAGGTGTCCATTAGGACTCTTTAAGGCCTCGTCCACAGCACTCTGGTAGAGATGCTGTGGTTCAGGATTGGGTTTAGAGCGTTTAGACTGGTGGGAGGTTTGTTCTTCTGACAGCAGATTGACACCAGAGCTGTAGAAGGTCAGATGGACATGAAGAGCAGCCAGAAACTCTTGAACACTCAGATGGACGAAGCAGAACACCTTGTACTGGTACAGTCCTCTCTCCTCTCTGAAGATCTGAGTGAACACTCCTGAGTACACTGAGGCTTCTGTGATATCGATGCCACACTCTGTCAGGTCGGATTTATAGAAGATCAGCTTGCCTTTCTGCAGCTGATCAAAGGCCAGTTTTCCCAGAGACTCGATCATCTTCCTGCTCTCTGGACTCCAGTGTGGATCCGTCTCAGTTCCTCCATCGTACTTGACCTTCTTCAATTTGGACTGAACCACCAGGAAGTGAATGTACATCTCAGTCAGGGTCTTGGGCAGCTCTCCTCCCTCTCTGGTCTTCAACACATTCGCCAGAACTCCAGCAGTGATCCAGCAGAAGACTGGTATGTGGCACATGATGTGGATGCTTTGTGAGGTCTTGATGTGTGAGATGATCCTGCTGGGCCTGCTCCTCATCTCTGAAACCTCTTCCTGAAGTACTTCCTCTTTCTGGGGGGTCAGTGGAACCCTCTGACCTCTGTCACCCATGCCGACACACTCAGGAGGGATCTGATTGGGCTGCAGCAGGTCGTGTGGGTATCCAGAGGGCGAGCAGAAGGAAGCAGCTTCCCACTGATGAGGTTTGTGAGGAGGCACATCCACTGGGGCCGACTCTGGTGACATCAGTCAGGTCGTCATTGTTGAGGAAGTCCAGAGGAAGTCGACACTCATCCAGACCGTCAAAGATGATCATTACCTGGAACTCTTCAAACCTGCAGATTCCTGCTGCTTTGGTTTCACTGAAGAAGTGATGAACAAGTCCCACCAAGCTGAACTTCTTCTCTCTCTGCACATTCAGCTCTCTGAAGGTGAATGGAAATGTGAACTGTATGTCCTTGTGGTCTTTGTCTTCAGCCCAGTCCAGAGTGAACTTCTGTGTTAAGACTGTTTTCCCAATGCCAGCCACTCCCTTAGTCATCACGGTTCTGATTGGTTCCTCTCCTCCAGCTGAGGCTTTGAGGAGGTCTTCTAGTCTGATGGTTGTTTCTGGTCTGTCTGGTTTCCAGGATGCTTTTTCAATCTGTCTGACCTCATGTTCTTCATTGACCTCTGCAGTCCCTCCCTCTGTGATGTAGAGCTCTGTGTAGATCTCATTCAGAAGGGTTGTCTTTCCTGCTTTAGCGATCCCCTCAAACACACGCTGGAACTTCTTCTTCAGGTTGGATTTGAGTTCACGTTGACAGTTGGTGATAATCTCTGAATGAACAGAAAAAGACACAAACCAGATAGTGCTTTACTTTAATGGTGTAATATTTCCCTTGGATTAAGCTATTGGTTGTATTTTTCTGCATTCCTATCTGAAGCTACACGAATATTGACTGTGAGAACTTGACAATCGAGAACTATGACTGAAATATCTGAAATCTGATATCTGAAATATGCTGGTCAAAGTATCTCAGTTTTACTTGCTTTGTGCTTTTCTGAGTTGATTAAACATGGCATACTTCCTGGGTCCATGTTGTCTGTTTTGCTGGTGCCTGTAGTTAAAAATAAGACTGGTAAATTAACTAGTATAGATAACTATAGACCTATTGCTCTTGCTAGTATACTATCCAAGGTACTAGAAGGGATTCGTATGGATAGGATTGCAGAATACATAGCATCAACAGATGCTATGTATTCCAAGCATGGAACTGATCTGTGTATTTATGCACTTAAATAAATTGTCCATAGGTACAGATGACGCAATAGCACAGTATTTATGTGTTTCCTGGATGCATCAAAGGCTTTTGATCGTATCAATCATGGGAAACTGTTTGGTAAACTACATGAGCGTGGGGTTCCCTTTTACTTAATTAGGATACTGCAGTTCTGGTACTCTCACCACACTATGCAAGTCAGGTGGGGGACGAGTTTGTCAACCCCGTTCTATGTATCCAATGGTGTGCGGCAGGGCGGGATTCTGTCTCCGCTCCTATTCAATCTGTACATGGATGATTTATCTAGGGAGCTAAAGGGCTGTAGAACTGGCTGCTTGGTGGGGGATAGTCTACTTAGTCATATGCCTTATGCTGATGATTTGGTGGTACTGTCTCCCTCCAGTGCTGGCCTACAGCAACTTCTTAGAATATGCTCTCAATATGGACTGATGTTTGATATAAAATGTAACTCTATGAAGAGTGTGGTAGTGATTGCCAGAACCAAGGACGAAATGAAGTGTGTCTATCCTTCTTTCTCATTGGCAGGTTAACCACTAGAAGTTGTAAAGAAAGTCAAATATCTAGGACATGTGATCAGAGATGACCTGTGTGATGATGATGATGATGATGATGATGTGTAGCGTCAGTGTGGAAAATTGTATGGGCAGGCGAACATGCTGGCACGCACATTTCACATGTGCATTTCTGATGTTAAAATCGCACTTTTCAGAACCTATTGCGCCCCACTGTATACTGCCCACCTGTGGTGTCATTTTAGTAAGTCGAAGCACTGAGAATTGTGCGTAAAGTCCCTCGGTGGAATAGTGCCAGTGAAATGTTTGTGTCCAATAAAGTGCCCACTTTTAAAGCTGTTTTAATAAATTGTATGTATAGATTCATGTGCAGATTGACAGGGTCTAAGAATATGATTGTTGTGTCCTTAGTGGATGTCTCCAAGAGGGACACAAGGTATACATCGTGCTTCTGGAGACATTGGACCCGAAGCCTGTATACGTTTTTATAATTGATGCCTCGTCTGCATCATTCTTAAATGTTGTTTGTATTGTTGTTTTTTATGTGTATGTATTCTCTATGGACCTCTGTGTCTGGAATAAAGTTGATTGATTGAATATGACCACGGAAATAATAGAACTGTGCAATAATTAGATGGTGGTACAAAAAGTCTCTTCACCTTGACCTCCATCTCCTCCCACAGGATTCGGTTCGCCTGAAACAAGATGTTTTCTGTGTTTACTTTGTGCATTTGTAGAGTGATAATAGCTGGTATATTTAGCCTGTGCTGAAATTAAAATCTACACTTAATAGTGGAATAGTTTCGCTTAATGAGTGAACACCAATTATGAGACTTTATAGTTTACAGCTTTACTATGTTATAGTTTTTAATCCCTAATCCAAGGGTGGTGCTCCGCTGTTATTAACATTTGTTAACGATGATATTAACATGAATAATCTGTTGTATCTTTATTATACACATCTGATGTCTTTTTTCCGCTTTTTAACAACTTACCCGTAGGGTTAAAGTTCATTTTGGATAATTTTTCGGCCAGATCGTTCCTTTGAATCTCTTTCAAAACCTCCACGGCCACCTGAACAGAGTCTTTGCCGTAGTACTGCACCATCAGGTCCACCGTGTTCTCCCTGTTTTTGTTCTCCAGGTCACTGCGTGGGATTGATCCGAGGTGTTCCGGGCTTGGATCGTTCTCCAGGTGCCACTTGAATACTTCAAAGTCCTCCTCCTTGAGATCCTTTAGAATTTTGAAGATGTCCTTCTTGACTTTCTCCATCTGTCCTTTTTAAAGACACCCAAATAAACATCATTCACACAGAACAATTACTGCTCTGCATTTAAACAACAAACAGCAGCGTGTTTTAAAGATGGAGTTTTATCGGTTTATTGGTTTTGATACACAATCAAATAGAATTCTTCTCTCTCTTTCTAAGCACCTCTGATGAAGTCAGCGTCCTCTTTGTGGACACGAGTTGGATGAATCTGTGAATATTGGGGAAGTGTGAAGGTGGGTCACAGCTTCACCTGCAACAACAGAAATGCCGTGTAATTTGTATTCATCAAACAAACTCAATTCATAATCAAACTAATCATGAAGCAGGAAGTATATGGAGCCAAATCCAGGACAAAGCTTTTGATCTTTCGAAAAAGAGAATTGAAAAAAAACGTATTCAAAATAAAATTAAGACGATTTAGTTCTTATAAAATATTTATTTTCATTTCATTTTCTAGATATATAATCACATTATTTTCTATATAGATATAGATATTTAGGTTCTTTTCATTATTCAGTTGTAGATTTCATATTTTCCAATTCAACTGTTCAATCGTTTTTTCACTGTCAGACTTTTGGCCCTGATAAGGGGGCGTGGCATCAACCGAGAGGGGCGTGTCATCATGAGTGACAGCTTAACAAAGAAGGCTGAAAAGTTTCCTCAACCGTGTTGCCTTCAGGAAGCGTAGGCACTGTGGTAATTATGAATCCACACTTTCTATACACCACATTCACGTGATTGGCAGTAAGACAATTTACACCAGTGACAAAGTTCTACTTAGCGAGCTGTTTTAACACGAATCACAGAATAAGAGCAATAAACTCAGATAGTAGCGTTCAACAACCACGTTTGAATCTCTGAACCACTGTGAACGCAGCGTAGCATCCATGTGATGGAGTCGGCTCCACCCGATCACGTGAACATGGTGTATAGCGATATAAACACAATCAAACAGGAACAGCTAAACACACACAGTGATGAACCATAAGCATGTGACAGCAGATACGTGTGAGCTTGCTTTCTGAATGTGGACACATGTGAAGGACGTCCAGTCATCCGACAGCTTGTCGCAGAGAGCAGGACGTCTTTGACTGAAGGAACCCACAGTGGATATTTGGAACGGCTAAAACAACTTGAACCCTCTGACTTGAGGTATTTTCCAACATGAGGCAAACCAGTCGTACCAGATGGGTGTGTGTTTGTGTGTTAGTACCCGTGTAGATGTGTGTGTGAACGGGTTTTTCTCCATTGTGGGTGTGGTTACGATCAGGAGTCCTGATGTCTGATCTATGAACGGCTTATCTGCACTTCCTCTCCAACAAGTAAAGATAATATATATATATATTTACGTAGTAAGTATGTGCATTAGGTGCTATAATGTCTTTGGGGGCACGACTCTGTTTGAAAGGTCGTGTTTCATCAAGATTAGAAATATGAAGCAGTTTGAGGTTGATAGAACTAAATAAGTGAATATGGTGACTAAAAGTGTTGATTCATAATTCCAGATTTCATGAAGGCAACGCGTTGAGGAAGGTTTTCAGCCTTCTTTGTTAAGCTGTCAATCATGATGACACGCCCATTTCAGCTGATGACACGCCCCTTAAGCCATATCAGGGCCAAAAGTCAAAAACATTTGTATCCGAAAACATAAAATCTTCAACTGAAAAACATAAGACCTCGAATCTAAATAAAAAATATATAGTGCCCCTCCGTCTGCTACCTTCCCCTCTTCATCGGTAACAGTCAAACACTCTAAAAAGTGACTAGATGTGTTCTGTGGAGCAAACAGAGCGTCTCTCAGGTGTGTTTCAAGAACAAAGGCCCAGGTGAGCCCTGTGGTCCCTGCTGGGTCCTAGTGCCCCCACCTGCTACCTTCCCCTCCTCATCAGTAACAGTCCTCACAGACCCCAGATCAGACTGAGCTCCTCTTCT